TCCACTGATGCCTTCTCCCAAGCCAGGTTTTTGTACAAAGGAATTTTGGGTTTATTTTGGGGTATCGCAGCCTCATGTTGCTTATTCTTAGAAAGGTGAACCTGTGGGATTCCTATGGGAATCTTGCTCTAGAGCACTTTGTGCAAAATCTAGGGTTTGAATTAGGCACCAGTGTATGGCAGGGTACAATATCTGCATTTGTCTTCATAACAACAAAAACACCCTACTGATACTCAATACACAGGTCTGAATTCCACACAAATGCTTCATATCTCAGTTCCCACCTCAGCAAATGTTGGTGTGACTACCCAGCTGACTAATAACTAAGCAACATGATTCAAACTAGGACAGACACAGAAACTACTCTAAAGGATACAGTGCTGAACTTGGATCAGAGAGACTTGAGTGTGAATTCCCCATTAAGCCATGAAGTTTATTAGGTGACCTTGGGCCACTCACTCTCTTTCAGCCTAATCTATTTAACAAGGTTGCTTTGAATGTAAAATGGGGGTAATCCCCTGTATTCCGAGATGAGTGGGGTACAAATGTGGTGAATATATAATGGGGAAAGGTGGGGACCAGACTGTGAGAGTAAGTGGAGAAGGCAGAAGCTGAAGAGATCTATGAGTAAGAGTCAAAGAGAAGGTCCCACTGGTGGACCTCCTGATGGCACCTGGTATTTCTGGCCACTGTGTGACACAGAGTGTTGGACTGGATGGGCCTTTGGCCTGATCCATCATTGGCGTCTCTTATGTTCTTAAGGTAGGAGGGGCAGGAAGGAAAATGCAGTGTCTGGTTATGTATCTCACATTTTTTATAAATGCAGCAGAGGTACCCCACATTCCATACACCATTCTTTTATATACTGTCAGGCTTATGTAATGAGCAGTGACTTCTAAGTGCTAAGAAGCAGTGACTTCTAAGTGCTAAAAAATAGTGACTTCTAAGTCCAGTGGCATCTTGAAGACCAACAAAAAGTTTTGTTCTCAGTATAAGCTTTCCTGTTTTTTAAAGGTGCCACTGGACTCAAACCTTGTTCTGCTGCTTCAGACCAACATGGCTACCCACCTGGATCCATCTTTCTAAGCCCATTAACTTCCAGAGG